TTCTCCTTCTCCTCGTGTGTGTGTTGACCTAAACTACATGCCATAAACCTCAAGTTACTCTTTTTATTTTTGTTTTGGGGTGAAGATTCAGTTTCAGTCTTTTGGATCTAGGTTTTCAATTACATGTTAGTCAAGTATTAACAGCACAAGTAATGGGTTAACTTTAGACTAGAAATTGGTGTGTGGGGGATGCAAGAATCTTTATTTTATTTTATTTTTTTTGGATGAAATTTTTATCTATTATATATTAAACATTCTTGCTGCTGCGCTGCAAAGCCATAGCAGACTTGAGGCGCTGTTGAGGGCCGAACTATCTCCAAGTTGAGAGATGTCTTTGGGTTGAATTAAGAGCCCTACCCAAAACTGAAGTGGGGAGGGGAGAGCCCTCACCTCCACTGCCCCATCCCACTCTCCCCTTAAACCCTCTGCCTTTTAAAAGCAAATCGTTTTCACTGCGATGTTGGACACTACAGGTATCTGTCCCCAGGCCAGCAGGGACCTCTGAAGCCTTCTTCGTGGCCTGGCTTTTTTCCCCCCCATCCTGTGGTTTTTTTCTAATAGATATTCAGGACTTTTATAATGTCATAGCTATCCAGGCTCCACTCCCTAAATTTTAAGAACTTTAATCGAAAGTTTAAATTGAAGGTGCTGTTTGTAGACACTTAAAATCCAATGAAAGCCCAGCCATCATGACAAATCCTTGAGTGTTGTCTTAAGAAAATGATGCTGGTCATCACAGCTTCAGCATCTCCTGTTTTTTGATGCTCACCTCCCCCTGCTGAGCTCAACGTTTTCTGGCTTTTCCTTCCCTCCTCTCACTCCTTTGCTGTCCTGTGTAGTGATTTGGTGAGAGAAATTATGGCTGCCTACCCCCCACCCACCTCTCCTGCACTACATAAGAGTTTCAAGTTTTATTATTGCAATAAAAGTGCTTTACGCTGGCTTTTCTCAGCTCGGTGTGACGGTGGTTACTTTCAGGTTCCTCCCCCTGCCATTTGGTGCAGCAGGATGGGGTTAGAGGTCTAACAAAGGGGATACAGTGTGGGAGGTTGTGTCTTGTCAGAAGAACCGCAGCAGGGACTTCTTCCCCATTGGTCTCTGGAAGCAGGGGAGGTGGGGTAGGTTTGTCTCTTTACCAGTGGAGAGAATTACCTGGAGGTCAGACTGGGGTCATCAGGGAGAACCCACTCACCCACAATCAAATGTTCATTAAATATATGTTCTGGGTAGAGCACTATGTTTGGTTGTCTGGGGTTACCAAGAGGTTGGATAGGTGCTACCAGCAAATTGATGAATTACAAAGGGACGATGGGATTTTAAATTGGTTTCCTCCGTGACATTTGGTGTGGAGTTTTGTCATGTGGACAGGCTGAGTGGTTACAGTACCTTCCTGGCCCCTGCCCTGTATATGCTCCCCGCCTCCCTCATTACAGAGACTACCAAAAATGCTCCCACATCCATATAGACATTTTCCAAAATCGCCCTAGTGAAGAGCCTTTGATACTTAAATTGGTTGCTCAAGGCCTTGCTTAATGCTTTTACAAATCCATCTCTTCGTTAATTTAAGTCACCAGAGTATTTCAGGGTCATGTCCATCATTAGAATTCAGTATTTGTTTATGTTTTACACCCTAAGACCTAAAGAAAGAGAGTATCATCGTCTCAAAGTTTCCTTACGCCCTTCCCAGTCAGTCCTCACCCACACCCAGAGGTGACAGTGCTTTCATTTTTCTACCATAATGTTGTTTATTACAGAAGAGGACTGTAATGAAAATCAAATTAATAAACTAAATTTATTTAACCACCAAATGTTAAAGGATAAAATTTTTTTTAGAAAGTAAAATGATTCAAATACAAAATGAACATATTAAAAATTTTATTTAACTCATTAATGAGGGAAGCAGACAGATGTTTTATTTGGTTCAAAGGAGAATCCAGAGAGCAAGTAAATGTACAGTAAGTCCTCACTTCGTGTCATCTATTGATTCTGAGAACCTGTGACTTAAACCATGTGTGATGAAACCCATTTTACCCTGGCCTAATTGACATAAACAAGAGTTAAATTTCTATGGCATGTTTCTGGTCACACAAAAAAATCACCAAACTTCTCAATAAAGACCCAAAACACTTCTAATATGAAACACTGAAATAAATGTGAGCTATGCTTACATTTAAGAAAGATTAATAAAAACAGAATTATTTCACAACCCATTTAATCCAGTTCAGGGTTGAGGGTGGCCAGAGCAGCTCAGGGCACAAGGTGGGCACCCACCTGGACAGGACACCC